AATAAGAGGAGTCAAAAAGAGAGTCAAGAATAATTATATTTGCAACAGAAGCACTTTTTTATTTCTCTTTTTTTGGTTGTGTTTTTTTTTCCTTGTTGCCATAATTATTTTCCTGCTGAGGAAAGAAGCGGGGAAATTTCAGTCAGTAAAAGCTTCTGACACGTTCCCTGTGGCTGGGTTTGTCCCCTTCCCAAGTCCCCCTGCCACTGGGGCATCGCTGGGACTGTGTCCCCGTGTCCCCATGTCCCCGTGTCCCCTTCCCACTGATGTGTGACCCTGTCCCCTCCTCCCTGTCCTCTCTGTCACAGGTCCCAGTGGCACCAATATCATTATTGGCTCCATTGCGGGGGCCATGCTGGTGGCTGCCATCGTCCTTGGGGGGACAGGCTGGGGATTTAAGTAAGCAGCCACCACATGGCTCGTCCCCTCTGCTGCTGTCACTGACCATGTCCTCCCCTGCACCATCACCAGGACCAGGCCTGTGGCCCCCCCGGGGCACTGCCAGTCTGCGGAGGTCCACGCTTGAATAAACACCTCCACAACTTTTCGGGATGCAACTGGTAAGGTGACTTTATTATAAAAGCGGGGTACAGCTGAATGGCTTAAAGGGAGGCACAAAAAAGAGCACTGCACAAAATGGCTCCAGCCTTATATATCATGGGTAGGGAAGGTACTGGAACAGAAGGTGGGGTTTAGGCAGAGCATGTAAATAAAAAACATAAACATGCATCAGCAAAATTCAACCAATCAGAACACAAGAATCACATACACAGGGAAAAAGGTATAACATATACAAAACCATACAATGACAATAAACCAAACACAGAATTTATAATTTTCAATCCCTCAACACCAGTCCCCTCGGCTGGTCGTCCCCTGCAGTGTGGCCCCCAGTCCCCTGGACCCTGCCTGGTCCCCTGACCCTGCCTGATCCCTTGTCCCAGCCCCTGCCTGCCCCCTGGCCCTGCCTGCCCTGCCTGCATGTGCCATCGGGGTGCCACTGTCACCCCGACCCCGTGGCCGTGTCTGTCCCCAGGCATGGCGTGCCGGAGCGGGGGCTGTGTCAGTGGCCCTCTGTGTGTGCTCCTGCCTGGCATCGGGACACTGCTGCTGCCTGTGGGACCAGGGACACCGCGGTGGGGGGACACACCGTGGGGGACAGCAGAGACTTGAGGGTGGCACTAATGCTCCTCTCCCCTCCCCCTGCCACTCCCCCCAAGGAACATCCGCCGAGGAAGGTACGACCCGGCGCAGCAGGGAGTGTAACCGTGTCCCCCCCCATCGTCCCGTCACCGTTCCTGTCCCCGTCACCGTCCGGCAGCCTGACGGCGTGGGAGCCCCCGGGCCCGTCTGTCCGTGTCGCTGTGTGTCCGGCCGTGCTGTCTCCATCTCTGTGCCCCCACAGCTGAACAGGGACAGCGGCTGGAGGGGACCTGGCAGCAGCCCCCTCCGGTGCTGGCTCATTTCAGCTCAGTGTCCCCCCCATGTATCACCCCCCTGTCACAGCCCCCCACTAAACACACCCCATTTCTGTGTTGCAGGTCCGGGGGGGCCTGAGCGGGGCCGCTCTGCCCCACCCCCCCAGCGCCTCATTAACAGCAATTAAATGGGGCGGCGCTGCCGAGGGTCCGGCCGAGGAGGAGAGCGGTGGGGGGGCACCTAGGACCACTCCCCCGACCCCCCACTGCACCACCAGGAATGTACAGGGACTCCCGGCCCCCCCGGGCTGGTGGCATTCGGCACCGGAATGAATGTACCTGCGGGGGCCAACGGGCAGCCCCCAGCCCCACATCCCCCTCCCTGCCCCTCCAGCAGCATCTTCCAGCCTGGGGGCCTGGGTCCCCCAAAAGGCAGCCCCGTGTCCCCAAGGATGAGGCCAGTATGCCCAGTACCAGGCCAGCACCCCTCTCCCAGTGCCTGAGAGTTGTGTCCCCCCAGCCCAGATGGGGACCAAGGACTGCACCCCCAGATGTGCCTCCCTCCCCCCCCCCCAAAGTGGCTCAGCAGCTCCCATTTGGGATATATCCCCTCAAACTTCCCCCAACCCCCCATGTCATGGCTACACCCCCCAAACCATGAGACCCTGTTACGACCCACACCAGAAAAAAGGGGGGGGTAACCCAGGTTCTTATCAGTAATTCCCTTGGGGTGAATTAGAGTGAAACGACACTGAATAATCGGTGTTTGAAAACATATATAGGTAGGGTTTATTTTAAACGCATATAGGTAGGGTTCATTTTAACAATTTTGTTTGAACAGGTACGTTAGCATTTTGGCTGTTGTCATCTATATCATCTATCATAGGGATAACCCCTGGGGGTAAAATGCATAAGGGAGAGAAAGGAAAGACAGGATAAGGGTAAGGGAGAGTAAGGGAAAGCAAAGCTGAGAGTGGAAAGATGTCTATAGTCACCGCCCACGGGGTCCAGCGATGGAACTCGGTAGTTGCAGCTTCCATGTCCGTCAGTTGAAGTGGTGGCCTTGATCCGTTGGGGGTGAAGGAGGGAAGCCCCCACACTCCAAGAAGTTATGAGTTATTATATCCATGGTTAGTGTCACGGGCCATGTCACGAGCCTCCAACATCTCCTGGGTCTGTGCTGAGTTCCCGTGAGGGGCCCGGGAAAAGGGTTTTTCTCGCCTTTCAAGATTGGGGGGGGGGATGGGCTTTGATGGGCCATCAGAGGTATAATGCAAAAGTCCTGCAGAAGCCTGCAAAAGCCCCTTGGCAATCCTAGAATGCATAAATCATTAACCGTTTCAGTCTCTGACACATGTGAAATCACATTTTCTTATGAATCTGTTTGGGTTTTTTTCAGAAATCAAAGAAGAAACTAATGACTGATGCTGGTCTCTGAGGGGGAAAAAAACCAAAGGAAAAGGAAACATTGCCATTTTAAACACTGCAAAATAAGAGGAGTCAAAAAGAGAGTCAAGAATAATTATATTTGCAACA